CACATCGGTTTGCTCCTCCCGACTTCCATCTGGCCCCCGGGTGCCTCCCTCCTCAACTGACCTACCCTCGTCTCGAGTTCTTTCTAGCCCTCGTGTACCTCCCTCCTCTGCTAATGTCCCCCCGTCTGTTGCTATTTTGCCAGCCTGTAGCAGGTTCTTGGCAGGTTGCTGCTCGCTGGCTGAGTCCCCAGCATTAAACCCCTCTGTAGTGAGCATCCCCAGACTGCTGTTACTGCTATCTAAGTTCGTTGGGATCCGAAAGTGTGCTGCAGAAATCTGAAACAACCGCTGCAGGGCATCTCCCCATCGCATGTGTTCTGGGAGACCCTGCCTCAGAATGGTTCTAACCTGTGTGCTGCGCTCCAGGGCTTCGTTGAGTTGTGTGTGTGCTTGTGCCCAAAATTCGGTAGAGGGTTCAGAGTGCAGTGACTGAAGGCCCGCCATAATCCAATCCGAGATTTGGGATATGGAGGCGTCAGGGCCCTGAACTGCCCCCAAACTAACGGGGTTAAGAACTCCTTGAATTGGCATTGCCAATGCTCCTTCATACGGATCCTTCGTGGATTTGTCCAGTTGTTGCTCCCGTACTCCCTGACCAATTTTTTCCTCCTCCTCGCCCCCTCTCAGTCCCCCTTCCTCCGGTTTTTGTGCCCCCCGTGCTCCCTGACCGTTTTTCTCCTTCTCCTCGCCCCCTCTCAGATTCCCTTCCTCTATGTCCAGCAGACTGAACCTGTTACCTTGAATCCCTTGATCGCCCTCAGTTGGGTCCCCTCGTTTGTCATGGCTCCCTTTTTTGGGGAGCTCTGCCGTCTTCCGGCTTTCAGTGTGCTTAGTGTAGTCGACAGGGTCCGGGCCCCATTTCTTTTCATCCTGTTTTTCCTTCTGTTTCTTTCCGTCGGAGATGGGGTTCGGTGCTTTGCCTAGATGGGATTCCACTGTTTTCGGGGGCACCCAGGAGGATGGGGGGTTTGTGTGCAGGGCAGGGTCCCCCTCTCTGTCCCACACCCAACCGATCGTGTTCCCATTCCCGTCTGGCTTGTCGGCGTAGACCCAGCCCTCGTGCCCCGGGTCCACCGTTCGCCAGTGTGTACTACGGAAGGGGTCTTGAATCAGTCTACCAGTGGCCCTGGCTTGGTTGACGGGGTGGTGACGGCAGGTAGGCTCTGTGTAAAGATGGTCGTAGGCTTGACATTTGAAGCACCACGGCCGTTGCTTGTGTGTGGTGTGAATTCTCACTTCTTTCTCTCCTCGTCCTTGCAGCTTCTGATCATGATGGAAAGCATTTTATCCTCCCTTGGAATGCATTTGTTTTCAGCCGAAGCTAGGTTGGCAGGGGTCAAGCAACTCTGACACTCTTACTGGACCTGAATCCTGATGAAAATCCTATTTCCCCCCCAACAGCCTTTCGTGTCATTCTTCGCGGTTACGTGGAAAGTTCCACAATGGGAAAATCACAGCTCCTGTTCATGGTTGTCCTCACATTCCATTGGTACCTCTGCCAGAGTCTGCCTCATTCAATCTCGACAGCTGTTCAACATCATGATAGACTTGGTTTTTGAACTTGATGTGGGTGCGATTCCGTGCGAACGGTATCGACGCCACTTCCGCAGGACTACACCAATGGCATGAAGGATGGCATTACTCAACACTTGACCTCGCAAGGCGCCAAAGTGCACCTGGCCTCTTTTAGGCCCTGCCTCTGGTGTACCCAGTGGTCCCAGTCCCAAGGTCGTGCCTTGGGGACTGTATGATTAGTTCAGATCACACTTAGCCCAAGTCTTGACTGGGAACATCCACGTCACTGTGACGTCAGAACTTGGAGGTACGGATTGTCGAATTGGGAGTTGTAAGTGAAGTCCCGCTCCACCACTGTCCCAAGAGGGCTTGCTTTGGAACCAGGGAGAGGGAGAGGGAGAGGGTAAATACTCGCAGGCTTGCAGCTTATGTCCTAAGCTTGCCAATCACTTTGGAGATTGCTTTGGAACTTGCTTTGGACCTGGTTCCGGGACACTCACTTGCTTTGGGACTTGCTTTGGCACTTGCTTTGGGACTTGCTTTGGGAATTGCTTTGGGACTTGCTTTGGGACTTGCTTTGGGAATTGCTTTGGGACTACGAAGTCTAGCTTTGGCACTGCGGAGAGCCTGAGAGGGCAAATAGTTGCAGCTCGTGAGCTTGCCGTTTGGAGACAAGACACACGGTCAGTGAGGAGACACTCTGCATGGCCAGTTTTTACAAGTGAGGAGTTTTATGCTGCGGGGAGAGCGGTGATAGGCAGAAGGTTGATGAGTTGGCTACAGCCTGAGTGAATTGGCTCACATGGTTCATACAAGTACTCGCTACCGGTGGTGCGGTCACGTATTTCGTACATCGTCAACTTGATACAAGTACTACTCACCATGAAAATAAAACCAGGGCAGGTTGTATAACTATAATGATCTCATAATGGCTTTTACCCACATCATGATGGCCCACTTCCACGATTATGGATGGCATCATCAAGCAAGCCTCCTTGGGATTCGCTCCGCTCACGGTGGTCTTCGTTCCATAGGAACTGTAGGACCCCTCACAATGGCATTTCAACGCCGTTTGACCCATGAAGGGTCATGTTGGGTCATACCATATCGAACCTGTGTTGTTGAGGTGAAGCATGATGTGGTCCAACCTGAACGGAGGGAGGAGAGGGACAGGAGGGAGAGGGACGGGGGGGGAGAGGGAATGTTGGTAATTTTTTACCATTAAAGAGGGCATAATTTAATTGATTTCCAAAGGGTACGAAGTCGCACTTTGTGCGTGGAGGCTCGCAGGAGTCAGTCAAGTACAAAATACAGGTAAAGAGGGCAATTTGGGGCCATACCCACCATACCATGCTGAGCCTGTGTGTAAATGAGAGGAAGCAATGCCATGTGGTCCAACCTGAATCCATAACGATGTTCGGCAGTGGGGAAAGTAGGGGGACCGAGGGGGTTGTCCTGTCATCCGCAACAGGCGGAGCATGTGTGATAGGAGGAGCGTCAGTAGGGGTGTGTAGGGGAGATGTGGAGGGCTATATGGTGCATCACAGGTATTTGCATAGTAGGGGGTTGGAGGTTGTGCCATGCCAGCAGCACCTCATCATGCCCAGCTCAGATTTTGGCAAGTCCATTCATGAATGGGTTGGCCCACCTCAGGCATGGTCTCTCCCACTCCAGTTAGTGCGAGATAACGCCTTGTTCTAGCTGGTGCGTTGTTTCCGGGGCCGCAACTTGCAAGTTGGGCAGTCACTGTGGTCATTTCATAACCTCAGTCAGCTCTTCACAAGAAGCCCAATTCTTGCTACTCAGTTCTTTGCATCCAACTAGTACATCTAGGCACTAACTAACTCGCAGTCCTTGCAAAAAATATATATATATAAAACAGCAAGGCAAAAGTGCACTTCCATGATAAGTCAGCTCTTCACAAGAAGCCCAATTCTTGCTACTCAGTTCTTTGCATCCAACTAGTACATCTAGGCACTAACTAACTCGGAGTCCTTGCAAAAAATATATATATATAAAACAGCAAGGCAAAAGTGCACTTCCATGATAACTTCACCAACATTCCAATTTCAGAAAATCTTGAGAAAAAAATTCAGAAATCTCAGCAGAGGAAATTCCAATGCCCCAAATGATACCAAATTTTGGCCCACAGCAACCTTCAACCGAAACAAAAACCGGCAAAAACAAAACAAAAAAACAAAACAAAAAAAAACATAAAATTTGACCCCCAACGGGCCCAAACCCTAATTTTCGCAAAAAAAAAAAAAAAAAAAAACCTAATTTTCGTTTTCGACCCCTACTCGAAAAGAGCTGAAAGTGGGGGTCTCAGGAGCTGAAAGTGGGGGTCCGTCCTGTTAACTACCGTAGTACTTGTGTGTTCGCTCTTCTTGCAGCCCCACCCCACTTCTTTTTTCACATTGGAAGAGAGCCACCAGTACTTCCTAGAGTCGTGCCCGTTAACGCGCCACGATTTTAGGAAACGTACGGGCTACTACAGGAGCGCCCAAATTCATCCGACTAGAAACGTTTCTAGTCCTTTTTTTCCTGCGGCCGATAGCTGGGCCAAGTACTGGCTTAATAGACCTCTCTCCACTTGTTGCCATTCTTCTGCCTATGCTGGCCTCATGTCGCGTCCCATGCTCCATGTTTATCTGCCATGCTGGTCTCAAAAGAATTCCCTTTTTCCAACATTATGCCAATTCCAGCCATTGTCTGGTCAGCCATTGCTAGAGTCCTGCCAGCCTGTGCCACAAAAACACTGACCTGAAAGGATCCCTTCACTGACAGGTTATGATCGCAGAGTCTCAGACCACTTCTCACTGTTCTCAGCCTCCTCTCTCCCACTGATTCTTGCCCAAACAAGAGGCCTCTTTTTTTTCCTTTTTTTTCCCCTTGATCAGTCACAAAGACGTGTTTCGACAGCCTTCTCTCTCTCCACCCCTCTGCATTCTTTTTTTCCTTTTTCTTTTTTTTTTCACCGCTCTGCATTCTCTACCTCCCATTTTGACAAGCTGTTGTGCCCTCTACTGGACCCTGCATATGCCATATCCATGGCTTATCTCAAGCAAGCGTGATAATTGTGCTTTCTGGACCGAATCAGGTGGTTCCCCCTCCGTCTTCCCCCGCCCCCTTTCTGGACACAATCAGGTTCTCCCATCTCCCTCTACTGGACTTGTGATAAGCACACCCCCCCTGCATATCCATGCCCCATCCCAAGCAACTGTGATCATTGTGTTTCCGACAGAATCGGGTCCCGCCCCCCACCGCCTTTTCCCCCTTCTGGACACAATCAGGCTCTGCAATCTGCTGATCGGACTCGGCACCAACTCTAGACTTCAGACCTAAGACAGTCAATGACATTGCTTCTGCTACTGTAACAGGCAGGAGCAGGCATCAGAAATATCATTGATCTGACCAGTGACGTGGCAACAGGGAAAAGACCATCATACTTACTTGCCCCCGAAAACAACCTAGTACGGTAACGAGGACCAAGAGCAATACGAAACAGTGCCAGTGCTTGCAACGGGGAGGAGTCATCAGAGTCATCAGAGCATCATCAGAAATCGCTGACCTGACCTTGCAACGGGGAAGACCAACATACTTCCCAAGAAAACGCCGACGGTGATAGCGACGGCCACGAGCATCATTTGGAAAGCGAAGTTGGTAGCACTCAGGACATCGTTCTCGATCAAAAAACTGAGCGTTCCTCGGACACCAATGCTGCCGGGAACAAGGAGCAAGATGCCGCCAAGAACAGGAGCGACGCCCAGGCGGCGGGTAATCCGAGAGTAGACGTTGCTGCCCAACGCAATCACAAAAGCGGCTATGGTGATGGTGGCCTCCATGCCAAGGTGGGGGGACAAGACGATGGTCACAGTGTAGCCTGCAGCGGATACAACCATCGTTGGGAACCACTGCGAGAGCTTAGACTTGAAGGATATAGATATGGAAATGGATAAAACAGGAAAGATGACAAACAGCCAGAAGACTGGGATAGGGTTTCGTTGATAGGAGCAGATTTTGGTCTCAGAGGAAGTTGATGATGCTGGTGGGGAAGACGGTGGTGGGCTTGCTGAAAGCGGCTTTCTATCACTTGTACCATTAGTGGTAGTGCCCGCCATAGCACTGTGATCTGGATTCCAGAAATGGGCGGCGATAGCGCTTCCCAAATCTGTGCCGATAACGACTCCAAACCCGAGGAAGATAGCAATGAGTATAGCATGGAACAAGCGAACGGTTCCCGAAACGATGTTCTTGGAGGTGAGCTCCATAATAGCTAGCGTTAGGGACAGTCCAGGCAGCAAGACAACAATGCCAGAGAAAGTGACAAGGATCAAATCGACGCAAATACGCGGTGCAAGAAATTTTTGGAAGATCCGAACTACGCAAGAGATGAGCATGGCGGCTCCGAACTCGAGCAAGTGCATGTACTGCAGGGAGAAGACACTGGCCAAGTAACACAGCACCCCACACAAAAAACCGGCGAGGAAACTTAGCGCGCTGTCAAACCAAGTGCCGCTGAATCCAGCCAAGCAGATGGACCAGCCGATCACAGCATAGCTGAGCACCTCAACAACCTGCGTGAGAACGGGATGAGCAGGAGTGGCCGCAACGATCTTGGCCACTCGTTCCATGGCTTGGGCCAATGTGATCCGGGACTGAAAGAGCTCGTTGCAGATGTGATTCACGTCTTCCAGCTTGGCTAGCTCGAATCCTTGTTGAAGGGGGATAAGAAAGAGGCGTAGGTTGGGATGAGAGGCTGTGGGGCCAAAGGAGACCCAAGCGATGTTGGGAGAGATGGCAAAGCAAGAGTCAACGCCAAGATACTCAGAGACAAAGTGGAGGTTGTACTCCATCCGATGACTCGGGGCACCATAAGAGGAGAGGGCCTTAAGAAGGACAAGGAGAAATTCCTCCTCGGAGCTCAAGTTGGAAAGAATAGAGGGACGGACTGCTGAGGGGGGACAAGGGCCACCAGGTTCTTGCACCGGGGTCATTCTGGACACGCTGTGAGGGGTTCGAGAGAAAAGGGGTGTTTGCCGGCAGGCATAGTGGGCCAGGCTTGCATTAAGCGCTAATGCTCCCGCCAACATGTCAGTTCCCACCCTGGAAGTACGGGGCGTTGGTCTTGGGGTTGCTATTGGTCGCGGGGTGGGTGCTATGGAAGAAGCGGTTGATGAGTGTGAGTGTGGGCCCCCCCCCCAAATGCACCCCTCTCCCTGCAGTCCAGCCATGGGATCACAGCGCAAGGACTCACAACCAGTCGCTGTGACTGTGACTGCATCGCCGCCAGTGGTGGCTGTGGGTGGAGGGGATTTTGGCTCTTTGACAGAAGGGGGGCCCAGGAAATTAGCGGCTGCAGGCAGAAGATTCACTGGAAGGCTGCTTGAGGAAGGGGGATGTGGGGGGGGAGCAGGAGGTGGACCAGGCAGTGAAGCACCATGGTGCCCTTCTGCATCTCGAACATGACCAGGTTCGCAGTTCGGCCCCTGCCCATCAGAGGGACTCCTGAGTTTCCTTGCCACGTCATCATCGTCCATGCTTAGCTTCACTGCGTCGGAACGGCGGCGGCGGCGAAAAATGAACCCCATCATGTTTCGTTCTTCCAGATCTTGACCATTGAAGTTGGGGGGTCTTTCCGTTGTGTGATTCACAGCAGCTCCTGAAGAGGGGGGCAACAGTCCTGAGGTGCAAAGTCTCCATTCTGCACAGTGGTGTGCCCCAGAGTGAATCAGGCAAGGTGTGGACGGGGGGGTGCTTGGTGCTGTTTCGTCACCTCGCAGGTATGGTAGATCCCTTTGCGGAGGTTGATCTATGGGGCCTTGCAGCTCAGGAAGCTGTGAGGAATCTGAGGATGAAGGATCAGCAGCAGCCGCAGCAGCAGCAGACACAGCTGTCTCACCAAAGAAGCAAGGCCCAGGCAAACAATGTGGGCAACGCCCTGCCCCTGAGCACACAGCCATTGATGAACTGCTTTGGGAAGTACCATCCATCTGGGACTGTGCAAGTTACAAGTGAGACTGGACTGGGTTGGAAGAGCCACATGCATTCTCGCTCCTCGACAATATGACCAGGAGGAGGAGGAGGAAGAAGAGGAAAAACATATGATCTTATCCTCGTGGCAACTGTCCAACCAGCATCTGCAAGCAATCCACAATGATCGTAAGATAATGTCAGATGATTCAACACTAAGATAATAATAATAATAATAATAATAATAATAATAATAATAACAATTATAATAATAATAATAATAATAATAATAATAATAATAACAATTATAATAAATATGGAATCAAAATTGTGACAGTCAGTGGGCGGGTTGCGCTCTGCGGCCATAGCCATCTGGGCCGAGGTCCCATTAGCAAAGAGGATCGGATCGAATGCCTGAATGTGGACGTGGTTCATGCAGAAAAGCAGTTCAATCTCGATTTCCTGCACCTCTCAACAAACACGTCCAGATTCAGGCATTCGATCCGATCCTCTTTGCTAGTGGGACCATGTCATCTGATACTTTGTGTTCGAACTATTGCAAGAATGTTGTAAATTGGAATAACTTGAAGGGACAATTTGCAAAGTGCCCCCCGTAGGTCGAGCTATATGCCAAAATGCCCCTGAAAGATGTGGGTAGAGCGGAATGCCCTTTTGCGCCTAAATCTTTGTGTTATGCCCCTCCCCTGTCAGGCCAGTGCGAAAATTTGCAATCGGGACCCCACAGTTTGGCCCTTGGCCTTCTGCAATCGGGCCTTGGAAAAGTTCGCAAGTACGGGCGCATTCTGCAAAGTTGGACGGTACCCGGCAGGGGTATATTGCAAAGATGGCGGCTCCAACCGACGCCAGGGGTATTTCACAAAAGACTTTTTTTTTTCTTGTCAGAGGGCATTCCGTTCTATTCACATCTTTGAGGGGCATGTTGGCATCATATAGCTGAACTTATGGGGGTATTTTGCAGATCATCCCTTGCAACAACAATTTCGAGTTTCTGCTGATATCTCTCTCTTTGCTTTCCCTTGTGAGTTTCGTGTGAATTCGAGTGCTTGCATGGTTGTGAAGGCGGTGTCCAATTGAGTCGAATGGATTATTGCGCTGTATTGTTTCAACCTGGAATAATTCTGCAGAGGCATGCATTAAGCCCTTTGAGGGGGAGTTCTTGAATCAACAACACACCCCACTCTCCACCTTTCCAACTCAAATTTTCCTACAGTAGTTCTTTCCAGCTGCCCTTGACTATTGTTGATTTTTCAGATTGCAGGTCACCTCCTTCAGTAATAGACTGTAAGGTGCTGGTCCTTAGTGGATAATGTTACATGCCCAGTTGGGCGATGTACATATATAGCCAAGGATCCGCAATGTGATGAAAAGGACTGAATGGACAATGCAATGCTAGTGGAATCTCAGCAAGCAGTGTACATCCTGATACATACAAAAACGGTGCTTTGTAGCGCAGTGGAAGAATTAGATATAAGTCCTGACCTGACCGGGACTGACCTCTCTCACGTAGTACAAGACAGCGTAGCGGAAGACTAGAATACCAATGACTAGCCCGATCAATGCCGCAATGCAGACCAAACATACATCATCCTCATCACACGGTGTGAAGGGGGGCCTGGTGCTACACACAGGAAGAAAGCGCCAGGGCCAGACCATACACAGACGAAGAGGAGGGAATCAGACGAAGAAGAGGGGGGAGATGGAAATGTCGTCAACACCAAGTCTGTGTTACAAGTCCCAAATAATCCCTCGTCAAATGTCTGAAGCCCAATGTCGAGTCTGGACCAAATGTCACCAATCCCGCTCTCTCTTAGTCTGCTGATGCAGTGAAGTCAGGTAGCAAGAGGGTGAGAGGGAGATGGTGGACTGAGAAGAGGAAGAAGAAGAACTCTCTCTCTCTCTCTCTCTCTCTCTCTCTCTCTCTCTCNCTCTCTCTCTCTCTCTCTCTCTCTCTCTCTCTCTCTCTCTCTCTCTCATGTGCCAGGTACTAACCTGTGAAGATGGCGCTGTGCTGCAGGTACCTCGAAGACGAAGCTGGAGCTATGGCGCTGCAGGTAAGTCTCCCTGGCCTCCGCCCAATCTCTCTCTCTCTGCAGCCTGCAGGGTGGGCCAGTCCTATATAGTGCTGGCCCGTCCAGGAGGCTGCTCTTGCCAATGCCAAAACGTGCCAGACCCTGGCATTGAAACTCAAACAAAGGTTGTCTTGAAAACAGGCCAAAAATGGCTTGTGCTAAAACCCTGGTCTGGTGCCTAAGTTTCAGGGCAGATCGATCTTATGAGGGCCTGAAAATGGCCCTCCGTTTCAGGCTGAAAAGACTCAGGGCCTGGAGGGCCCTKTTTTAGGCTGAAACGACACAGGGCCTGTAGGCCCTTGTTTTCAGGCTTTCAGGCTGAAACGACACAGGGCCTGTAGGCCCTTGTTTTCAGGCTTTCAGGCTGAAAACGACACGGGCCTGAAAACGGCCCGTGCAGCCTGTTGCAGGCGCAGCATGTAACAATAAGCTAGGACCGTGGGAGTGGACACAGAATGGCTAATTCTTCTGTCAAGCCCGCCGAGTACTTGAGGAAAGCCCTTAAGTCGCCAAGTGTCTCCCTTAGGTGACAGATTCCAGGTGCAATTGCCTCTCACTGTCGCCTCTCACAAATTGTTGCACGAAGTCTTCTTGAAGTGTCTCACCACCCCAAACTTACACTCAATCAACCTGGCCGGGTCCAATGTTGACCCTACACAATCCAGCCAGGTGGGGGCAGCTTCTTTCCCCATACCACGCTGCCCCACTTCCCTCAACTTTCCAGCCCTAACCCTACCGTCTTCACCCGAATAGAACGCCCGGCAGTCATTATAGCTGTATTTAGCACAACTTTCGGTCCAGATGCAGCGATAATGATCGGCTGTTCTATTCGGGTGAAGACGGTAGGTGGTAGCCCTCCCACTTAGGTTAGGGTTGGAGCGCCAAAGTCAACTCTCGCCAGCAAGTAGAATCTGCTCTGTCAGTGATACCAATGTTACAATCCTGGCCGAGTTCGAAGTACAAATTCACGAGAAAGCACAATGCCGACCAATTGCGAAAAGAAATGAATGAACTTGAGAGAGGGAAAGAAGAAGAAAAAGAAGAAAGAATAAACAAGAAGAAGATGTACACCAGCAAGAGACCAATGATAATTCCCCTTGAAGTTCTTCTCGCCAACCAAACTCCTCCACTTCTCCTCCCCTCTTATTCAAACAAAAAAGAATGGTAGTAGTGATGGATGGCAGAACCAGAATCAAATTAATATGTGCGAATCCCTCTTCTACTGCCAGCACAACTTGAGGTTCACCATAGCCAGAGCCGCCCTTCTTATCCTTCCTCTTCGTCTTGGCTGAGGCTATTGCAAGGAACCTGACTGTTCACAACTTGCTGGAGTGTTCAAATTTGCATGCACATTCGTCATCACACAGATAGGATAGCTTCACACAAAGCCAAAGTCGAGATGAGATAGGAACCAGATGGCGCAGCTCATATTATCAAATTCACATTATACAAGAGTATCTCGAGTTCAAAAGTTCAGCGCCAACAAAATGCAAGTCTTCTTCCCTTATTCGTCAGCACAGGACCTGGCTCACCCAGCGTCACCCTTCAGATCACAAGTATGGCGCAAACAGGTAAGTATTCACCATATCCCACTTCGTAACCTGTCTTCTCTCTCTCTTTATCTTCTCTCTCTCTTTATCTTCTCTCTCTCTTTATCTTCTCTCTCTCTTTATCTTCTCTCTCTCTTTATCTTCTCTCTCAAGATCCCTGTCGTGGTTCCCTTCTCTCACTATGCATGCACACTCCTTGTCTACGAGAATCTACTCTGAATGCCTCTCACTGATATCCTACTACTGACCCCTCTAGTACTTCTACTAAGTTAACTCAGGCTGGCGCAGCTATGGCTTCCCTGCAGCCAGCGCCCAGCTCATCTCCCTTCTGGTGCAGCTTCTTCTGCCAGCGCTCCTCCCTGCACTATCGCGCACAAGTGCCTCAGCACTTCCACGCATCAAAGCCAATGGGAAATCTGCCTTGTGGGGAGGCTGCCTTGTCCTTTATAGTGCTGGCCTCCCCTTGCGAGGTCTGAATTCAGTCTGTCTTGGGTCATTTCCCAGTCCCAGGCCTCTGTGGAGTGTGTCCCAGTTCCTTATCCTCAGGGTCCACTGCTGCTGCGGCCTTCAGGCCTCAATTTCGGACTTTCAATCTGTATCTAGACTCTCCCTTTGACTTGAATTCTTGACGGACTTCACCTTTTGACTTCCTTTGGACAGACACACCTACTGCTCGAACAGACACACATTCTGCACGAACAGACACACATACTGCACGTACAGACACATCTCCTGCATGAACAGACATGACTTGCACACCCCCTGGATGAACAGATGTGACTCCCATATCTGAATATTGCAACTGTTCGTCCAGGGGCACAACTGTGACCTTTGACATTGACTTTTACTTAGCTAGGATGTGACTTTTGACCCAGAGAACATGTCCTTTGATCTGCTTTCACGAGTTGGGCTCTGGGCGAGTGACCCCACTATGCTGCATTCGTCAAACAGGGTCTGAATCGGGTAAAGGCCCTTTTACTATGGCGGACTACTAGGGCCTTGCCCTGACGTGCAAAAGACAACGCAAAGCAGCTATGGCCACTTCCACTCAGGCTGCCATGCCTGACTCTACCTCCAAGCTTCTTGGTGTAGCTCTACCCCAACGGGGGGCTTCCAGATGCAGCACCCACCAAGGTGATGAAGATGGCGTCCACCATAGCCAGGTAAGTACCCTTGGCGCTCCCCTCTCCTAGTCCCTTCTTCCTCCTCCTCCTGCCCGAGCTCCTCCACCATAGCCAAGGTGGAGAGCTGGGTGCTCCTTCCCCAGCAGCGCAGCACGCTAGCGCTGCTCCGCCACGCCCTCCAGCAGCGTGTTGCCCAAATGTGCATGCAGCAAACGAGGAGGAGCTCTTTGCTCCACCTGCAGATATAGCGGCCAACTTGCCTCTTGGGAGGTGACTTCCAGGCCACGCAGCCTCCAAGCAACCGGTACCTCCTTCCTCTCGGAGGGGAACATCATTGCACACTCTGATGTCGCCCGTACAGGCCCTAGACTCGGACTACTTGG